CTTCTGGAGTCTGTGAGTGCCATTTGTAACTCCTCCTTTGCATTTCCTTCCTGGTGGCTAGTAGGGTAACATCAGAGAGAGTATGCCCCATTACTCTGCTTTTCTTAGCACCAGGTATTTCACTAACTTCAATTGCTAAACTTGGAGATGTACAGCTAGAATACCAGCTTCCAGTGAAGTTCCTCAAGTGCCGTCAAGTAAAGCAGCTTTGGCTTTTGGATCTGGACTTGATGCTGGGACTTAGAATTGTCCAAGAGAAATACAAAAGGAATGTGCAGTCACTCCAGCCTTGGCATCAAAATAAAACAAGACTACAGATGGCATATATCCTATATAACATCCTGTGTCTGTTCTAAAATCATGATAGCCATACAAGGCTCATTTTACCTAGAGAAAACAGAAAGACCTGAAAAGTAAAGTAGTTTGGCCAAATAATCTTGATATTATTTCTGACTCTGAAATATCAAGGGGACTCCAGTTATGCAGTATATCCAAACTATTAAAACTTGGGTTACTCAGTAGATAACCTGAGTGCATCATATATATTTAAAAACAATAAAGAGACACTTCTGCTAAGTCACATTCATTAGGTCTTCTTACATCCAATTGGCCAGAACTTGGTCACATGGCCACATCTTGCTGGCTAGGAAATGTAGCCTTTATCATAGGGTGGCCACTTACCCAGTTTAAAAAAAAAGTTCTTTTACTATAGAATAAGGACAGGGGCAATTAAGTCTCAGCCATGTTTTCCTGTCTCCTGTCATGTTTTCCTCCAGCCTTCCTCTCTTGGACTGTAGCCCTACCTGAATATCATCAGCTTAACAAGTCTGAGAGCTTTATTTGTCCTGTCCTCTTTGCATCAACTTCTTTTGCGAGTTCCATAGCTTTTATATTTTATCTATGACTGCTGAGTAATAATGCATCTTCAACTTCTCTCCTTTTGCTACTGACAAAATGACACCTCCACCTCAGTAATTTGCTCCACCTCCATAGTTAAGTAGCCCATTATCAGCACCCCTTTGGGTGCTGCAACTGGACTTCCTGGTTGCCCTTTTTTTTAAATTGAAGGATAATTGCTTTACAAAATTTTGTTGTTTTCTGTCTAACCTCAACATGAATCAGCCATAGGTATACACATATCCCCTCCCCATTTTTGAGTCAGCTTTTAGCCCAGGTGATATCACTAGCTAGGTCAGGCAGGGCTGGGAGTGCTAATGGAGTATCTGACATACTGCCTTCCCACACCCCAGCAGCACATTCCATATCATATTTCATGGCTCCAGATGAAGCTATAACTTTATGAAAAAGGGAAGTTGTGTAGCTGTAATAGATTAAAAACACAATCATAGCCACATCAGCACCAAATTGTAGGATAGAGAAAATATGATGTAAACATAAGTCTGGTATGGCAATAGAGTAGGTGCTCAATGAATATTTATTGATATATTCATTGGAATACATGGCTCACTGAATATCCACTAAAGAAACTGGAGATGGTAATTTTGGAAGGCAGAATAGAGTCGTGATCTTTGCAAACAGACTCGAGTCCATCGTGCCTCCTAGACTAGCTGCCTTATCTAGAGCCCACTTCTGATGTTAGTAACTTGTGGCAAAACACACTCAGTCTGCCCTCAGCCACCATAGTGATAGTGAAGTCACTCAGTTATGTCCGACTCTTTGCTACCCCATGGACTGTAGCCTACCAGGCTCCTCCGTCCATGGGATTTTCCAGGCAAGAGTACTGGAGTGGGTTGCCATTTCCTTCTCCAGGGGATCTTCCTAACCCAGGGATCAAACCCGGGTCTCCCACATGTAGCCACCATACTACACCACAAAGACAGCTTTAATGATGCAATCAGCAGTGAGAACTCTGGAATCAGACTGATCTACCAGCTGTGTGACACAGGCAGGTCACTAGCTCTCTGTGCTTCAATTTCCTCATCTGTAAAACAAGAGTTATAATAGTATTCACCTCAAGGGGTTGTTGCAGGAATTTAACTAAATAATGCATAGAAAACATAGAACAGTAAGTTCATGAGACCAAGTACTCAGTGAACTGTAGCCCACCTGACTCCTCTGTCCTTGGGGATTCTCCAGACAAGAATACTGGAGTGGGTTGGAGTGGGATCCTTCTCCAGGGGATCTTCCCAACCCAGGGATCAAACCCAGGTCTCGCTCATTGCAGGTAGATTCTTTACTGGCTGAGCCAGCAGGGAAGCCCAAGTACTCAATAAAGGTTGGGTACTCAACCTCGCAGCCAAGCACCACAAGTCTGGTCACCGGACTTTCCAAGTGAAGGCAGAGGAATGTAGGAGCCAGTTACTGCTGATTTGAAGGAAAACCTCAACCTAAGGTTTGCCCATCACCTTCTTGAGTCCTCAGAAGCTTAAAGAGTCCCCACCCAGCAGCTGAGTTCCCTGTTTGGTGGACTCTGAAAGTGATACTTTGGAGAAATTAGTTAAGAGTGGAACTTAAACTTCTGAAACCACTGTCTACCGTGCATTGGCTGTCAGATCTCAGGGCCTCAGAACAGGACCTTCTCTCTGCTCCCTTCAAAGTACTCTCCATCAAGGAACTGCTTCTGTGGTATTCATCCTCACTGACTTTCCCACCATCTCAAAGACCTCTACTTCTGGTTCCTTTTCCCTGCACTCTCCAGTCTCTCTACCCTATATTGCTGTTCAGTCACTCAGTCATGTCTGATTCTGCGGCCCCATGGACTGCAGCACATCAGGTTTCCCTGTCCTTCACCATCTCCTGGAGTCTGCTCAGACACATGTCCATTGAGTTGGTGATGCCATTCAACCATCTCACCCTCTGTAACCCCCTTCTCCTCCTGCCTTAAATCTTTCCCAGCATCAGGGTCTTTTCCAATGAGTCAGCTCTTCACATCAGGTGGCCAAAGTATTGGAGCTTCAGCTTCAGCATCAGTCCTTCCAACAAAGATTCAGGGTTGATTTCCTTTAGGATTGACTGGTTTGATTTCCTTGCTGTCCAAGGGACTCATAAGAGTATTCTCCAGTACTACAATTTGAAGGCATCAGTTCTTTGGCACTCAGCCTTCTATATGGTCCAACTGTCATATTTATACATGACTACTGGGAAAACCATAGCTTTGACTATACAGACCTTTGTTAGCAAAGTGATATCTCTGCTTTTTAATACATTGCCTAGATTTGCATAGCTTTCCTTCCAAGAAGAAAGTGTCTTTTAATTTCATGGCTGCAGTCACCATCTCCTGTGCCACACACATTCTATTCAGTTCTCTCTCTCTACTTCTTTCTCTCTTGTTTTCCTTCACAAGATTATATTTGAGAATGACACACACAGGAATATACAATTTGATATTATGCTGTCACAGTTAAAAAATACACACTTCACAGTAATTGGCACATAGTAGGCTCTCAAATATTTGCTGAATAAAGTCCTCCTTGACTGAACCTTCCAAAGCAGAGTATCTGAGAAGGGGCTCAGTTCCCTAACTCTGATAAGAACTTAAAGAAAGAAAGAGAAATATTATATATCATCTATATCAAGCCCTACCTTCTGTTTATTTCATAAAATAGGAAAATAATGTAATACAGACACACAGCTATTTAAGGGCAGAGTGCAAGCTAGAAGCCTCATCTGCTTTCCAACCCAGTGCAACTCATTCTGGATTATGTGGATACAAATATCCCTTACTTCCCAGAGGTATGAGTCTGTAAGGCTTGGAAGGTAGCAAATAGCCACCACTCCTCAAAATGGGCCCTGGATTCAGACTCAGGTCTCCATTTCTGATGTCCAGCAGATTCTCCCTGCAGGATTTGACATCCGCACTTCATTGGGGTGGGCTCCTAGATGGGATTTGCTATTCAACACTACAAGGGTTTGGGTCTGTGCTGACTTTATAGGGGAAACACCCTGAAAAGGGAACCTAGACCCCTCCTCCTCTACCCCTGGGCTCCTCGCAGGCGGTTCGTGCCCACCTTCCTCCAGGTTCCAGCAAGCCCGGATCCTCTGGTGCAGGTCTCTGTGAGACTCCGCTCCCAGAGTCTTGATGAGGCGTGTTTAATCTTCCACCCAGATTATTTAACCTCCGCATCCTTGTTAACAAACAGCCATTATTAACGAGTTGAGAGACCACATGGGGTGGGCTTCTACAGACAATGCGCGCTCCCTTGGCCTTTCTGCGAACAAATTCATAATCCTCAGCGACTCAGCCGGAGCCCTCCTGCCAGGTCCGCGAGGGAGTCAGGAAACCGTAGAAATCTGGGCCCTTATTCACGACCCCTGAGCCCGGAGGGTCTGGGAATTGCAAGATGGAGCTGTATCTCTCCCTTCCTCCCCAGCCTCCCTTCCTCGCTCGCTCTCCCAAGGGATTGCTACAGTGCGTTATAAATTTTACCTTTCCAGTGTGCGGGAGAGGCGAGAGGAGGCTGTGTCCCAGCTCCGGGCCGGCCTGTCCCTAAGGACACCAATTAAAGGCACTAATTGGACAGAAATACATCAAAGTCGCTCCCGGGAGTGGGTCCTCAGAGCGCCAGGAATCCATTAGTTGGGCTTTTGTTTCAAAACACAGAAATACAGAGGAATAAAAAAATAAAATTAAAAGCACTTCGACGCAGACGGGAGTGGCGCGGGTGCTGTTCCGCGAGGACTCCTCTCTGGGTCACGGGAGACCCTCGCTCCCCACCCCCACTCAAGGCTCGGCGCGTGAGCCCACCGCACATTTATCCCCAAAGAGTGCCGCCTGCAAAGGCTCGATCGCCCCTGGGCCCGCAGAGACCGTGTAGACGCGGCTCACACCACTAGATGCGCCTGGACCGATGCGGGGTGGGGCAAGCAAACCCACCCTACCCCCCGCACACACTGTTCAGGTTCTCTGCCTAACCTGGCCCAGGAAGGGGAAGCGGGCACCTCGGGGAGGTACATGGCACCCGGGAGTCGTTTCGGCCTCATGGGCTACACTGGGGACGCGAGGCAAACAGTGCAGGGGACAGCGTCCCTCGGGGGTTATTTCAAGATGCGGGGAGCGGCACTTCGACGGCGGAAGGAAGGAACTGGCTCTTCTTTGGGAAGCTGGATGCCACTCGGGAGAAACGGGCCTGGGAGGAGCCCAGGCCCCGCAGGACAGGAGGAGACTCGGGACCCCGGAACGGAGGGCGACGGGCCCCGTGGAAATGGGACCCGAAGCCAGGGGTAGGAGGAGACCGAGTCCAGAAGTCCATCCCCCTAGTCCGGTGCGCCTGGCGGGGCCTCCAACCTCTGCGGCCGAGGCCAAAGCATGTCAGAGCTGGTGGGTGAATCCCGGGCGTGGGCAGGACCCCGCACAGGGGGCACCGCCTGCGGTTGGCTTCTGCGGGCGCGGCGCCTCCAGATGCCCAAGCGAGGCTGGGGAGCGGAGAGCTTCGCCGCGGCTTCCCGCCAGATCCGAAGACCGGGACGAGGCTGGCCCCGGGTCGCCACGGCAGCCAGAGCGCCGGCTGGCGTGGCGGGAAGCCCGGGCCTCACCTGGGCGGCGGGTGGCCAGAGGCCGAGCCCTCGGCGCCCCTCATCCTGCGGAGGCCGCGCCCGCTAGCTTCCCTCGAGGAGCCAGATTGGAATAGCTGCTTTTGATCCCATTCGTTACTAACCCCGGCATTTGTTTTCCATTTTATAAACGCTTCCCTTTAAGTAATTGTCCCTGTTAACAGCGTATACCTTTCAGCAGCCCTCACTGCGCTATAAATAATCTCGATGAAGATGCAAGGATATGACTTTCACAAGATTGGACAATTGATTCAATCTGTGACCCGCGATCGCGAATAATATTGGAAGGCTATTTAAACAGATGAAGGCCTAAATTGTCTTGCTTGTATCTGAATTAATTTCTCATTCATCATCATTATGAAGTGATTGGTCTATTCAAGCTCTTCAGCCTGCTGGAACGGAGAGGGATTTAAATGAGATTGTAACACAATTTAAATGCTTGCCGACTTTAACGAGGCCAATTGAGCAGCTGCAATAAATACAAATATTTTTCTAAACAGCCTTGTTTTAAATAATTACTTAATGCTTTCATGTTATTTTTAAGTGGCAATCTTTCTCCTGCTCCTGCTCAGAATATCACACACTTATTTGCTGAGATGGCGATTTTGGAAAGGACTTTGTGTTTCTATTTGCTTTATAGATGGTAGCTTGCGTTTTGTAGTCAGATTTTTCCCTTCTCAGGGTTAACATTTCGGGGTCCACAAACTGGCATAAATGGTGATCTGGGCCTTGGTTTCACCCTAATGAACTTATGTGTCTGCCCCCCCCCACCCCCAGCCAGGGAGGAACTGAGCGATGGGAGAATTTTTCCGTTTGAATCCAGTCACTTATCCAGACTTACGTTAGCTGGGTCTTGCAAACGAATCCGTGCAACTGCACTGACAAATGGCACCCCAAAGGGTGACCTCGTTTCTGACTTATCCTGATAACCATCATCATCTTGAACAAATCAGAATTCCAGCCTACCCGAAAGGTGTCCCACAGGAAGTTCAGTCTGCCAACAGTTTTGTTCCCGTGCAAGTAGACTGGAGTGAATGGAGGCCGGCTGAGGATTTCTTTGCTAGGGAACAGGCCCAGAAAGAGAACCTAGCCACAAGGATTGGGGGGGGGGGGGCGAGTAATTAGAAGAAAATCGCCATTTTGGGGCCCAACCTCCTTTTCCTGCACCCACTCACTGACACTATTCCCTCTTATCACTCCGGGTGAGGGTGCTTAGAGAGGACGCTAGGAAGGCAAAACTCTTTCCACTAGGAGAATGCCATCCGCTGGTCATCCCCGACAACTGTCCGTCCGTGACACCCACGCCCTTCCGCCGACATATGGCTGCGAGTGTTTCCTCGATTGGGGAATAATGGAAGCAACCGAGCGGGAAAAGCCCGGGGAACAAAAGAATCTTTTAAACTTTCAGGAACGTGCTAGGCTGGGGGTGGGAGACACGCGACATGGGCGGGGACCTAAGCTCCCCGTTAGCCACGACCGTCTAGGGCCCTATCCCCCTGGGAGGCCTGGGCTGAGAGGGCGCATTCTGAATCACCTCTCACTCTGCCTGGAATGGGGGCAGAGGGACTCGATGTGTGGAATGTGCAGCTGCGGGTTTCCCGGTTGGGAAAGCAGGGCCGACATAGTCACTAGAAAAATCATTGGTGGGGCAGACAACACTGGGGGATGCAATCAAACTGCAGGCCAAGGGGGGAAAAAATGAGGACAGGGTGGAGAAACCAAGTGATTTGCTATGTAACCGGGCAATTTAATGCCAGAGTTAGAGAGCTGCTGGCCGGAATCATTTCGTCTTCGGAGGCTCTGCCGAGCTCATCCTCTTTATCCTGTTGTTTAAAATGAACATTATCCCAAACATATGCAATGCAATCAGTTTGGTCACACTTACAAGAACACGCTTTAATAAGGCAATCAATCACTCGCTAACTAGACGGCGACGGCCTGCGCTGAGCGCGCACTCCGGCTGCGGAATGGCTATTCTTCCCTGGCCAAAAGGACCGCGGCTGAGCGCACGTCTGCTGCTCCCAGGCCCCGCTGGGTCCCCGACTATATTGAGGAACACAGGAAAAGTGTGAGTCGGATGTGAGCTGTCAGACCTAACGAGGGTAACCGTGGACTCGGGGCCCCAAAGAGGCCTAAGGTATGGAAGGGGAAGCCGCCGGAGCTGGGAGCTCCTAGCTACATGAGTCACTAATATCTGTGTGTGGCCAGAGCCTCCGTTTTCCCACCTGCAAAATGGGACTGAGACGGAGGGAAACTAAGTAGAGACGGTCGGAAAAGTGAAAAATGAAAACAATAATACCATGTCAGCCCTCTTGCTTGGACTAGCCTTCTCATTTTACAGGTGAAGAGACGGAGGCTGTGGAGGACGCAGTGCCTTTAAGATCATCTCCACCCCAGCCCCCACTACAACGACCACCAACTAATTGGGCCAGATGCTGCTTCCGGTGCAGGCGGGAAAAGTCTAATTTTAGGTGCGGGGGTCTGAGAAGGAGTGTGAGTAGTGCTGCCTAGCGCCAAACCGCCAACCTTGGCAAAAGGGAAATTTCATTATGAAGTAATGAGTAATTCCTCCTGGCAAGATGTATTGTTATATCTTCCACTTCAATTTGGAGGAAGAGAGGCTCAATTACCCAGAAAATACAGTCAATTAAAGGCTGCTGATTGGACACGAGGCCGGGATCATCGATCTTGTACTTTCCAATATCACTGCAGACACCTCATTTTCCCTCCCTATTAACTGAAAATACGCCTGGCATTACGGCAGCCCGCAGCCCATTTACCTGTCGCAAGCAATCTTGGCCCAAGGCGACATAACCCAGAAATTTGCTGGGTTTGGCACCAGGAGCTTCCCAACTGCAGAGGGAGCTGTGCAGGGCCAGGGGGGCAGGCTGAGTGGCAGATAGGATGTTAGAAACCTCAGCACAACGATTTGCTTGGGAGGGTGGGGAGTACTGTGTTGGAGAGGGTTTGCTCTAAAGCCTCAGGAGGGATGAAGTCTGATTAAGGAGACCCCCGCCTGCCCATGAGTACAGGGGCAGAGGACCCTTGAACCCATACAGTGCTGGGCTCCCAGCCTGCTGAGGACACCCATCTCCCTCCTGCTTGAGGCAGCCACAGTGGCTCTCCTATAGGGACAGAGAACAACAACGAGGTGGCCGTGCAGGACTGTCTGTCCCTTTGCCCTGACCAGCCCAGAATTGCATCCTTGGAGATGACTTCCAGTCTGAAGAGGATTCAAACCCTATCTTCTCAACTCAGGATTCCTCCCTCCTCTCCCTTCACCATAAGATGCAGACTCAGCATGACCAGCAAACCCAGCTCTCTGCAGCACTCCACCTCTACCCTCCCACCACCCCATTTGTCTCCACCTTGGGTTGGGGTAGAGATAGGATTACAGAGACCAGAGTCCAGGATCCCCTTTCCTCAAAGGGTTGGAGCAGATGGAGAGGACTCATGAGGGTGAGTCCCCGATGGGATCAGTGCTCTGCTGAACCAGTTGATCTAAGTCTCCTAGTGTGCACAAAATTAAGGAAATATGCACCCGACAGCAGCTCCTCCTTCTCCACCTCTGTGAAATGTCCATTTGGAGACTGCCAATGCCAAATGGAGGCTTGGGAGACTGTCTGTGTGTCCCTCTTTTGACTCCTTCCCTACCCAAGGCTATAGTTGAACTAGTAATGCAAAAGGAGTTAACAAACTGCCTGCTACCAAAAAAACTTAAAATGCTAAAGTGAGAATCATATCCAGCTTTATTGCAATATGGTCAACAAATTGTAACAGCAAATTCTTTGGGCTTCAAAGGAAAACCAAATCAAACTCATTCCCTACAGGAAGAACCACTCCCTCCCAGTCAGGGTAAAACTTGCCTTTGTGGGGGTATAAATTCTCCTATCCCTCAAAAACCGGCTGCAAGAATGACTACAGATGTGAGAGTTTGGGAGTGGTCCCCAAACAAGCCCTGGAGGAGGGGAGAGAGAAAGTACCCAGAAGCAGCAGAAGGCTCCCACTAGTATTCTGAAAGTCAAGCCCCATGGCAGCTTGGGAGGCAGATGGGTGTGAAATGCCAAATGCAAAGAAAAGGGCCAGAAAGCGCCTAGTGAATGAAAGAAAAAGGCTGGAAATAGCCCCTAATTTGCCACCAGATATAGAGGGAGGGAGATGAGGTTCCTGCTCCCTAACCTCTTCCCTCGGCGCCTTGTTAACAGCTAAGCTCTGGGCTCCATGGCCAGCCAGCAGCATGGTAATCATTATTATACATTCAACATTCAAAAACCCTCCTCACACACATCACTTGCTAATCAGGGTGTGTGCTGGGCCCAGGGAGAAGAGGCTTGGGAGAAGTTGCCAGGGGACCCAAGGCTATCTGCAGCTTCCCTGCCCACAGTACACAAAAAGTGAGGGTGGAGATGAAGTTACAAGTGGAGAAGAAGCCAGGAGAGAGCAAAGAGATCAGGTGCTGGTAGATGGCAGAATCAGAAAATATCCTGTAACTGAGGCTCCAGGGGGGCCAGAGAGCCCCCTGCTTCTTTGGGAGGGTAGTAAATCATCTCCCTCTCTCCCCTAGATGGCTGGTGCATCGTCATCCACAAGCCCCTTGCCATGCCTTGGAAAAGCTGGCAAAGATTAATCTCTACCTGCTCTGCATACACAGCATTTTGTTCAGAGAGACAGCAATTTCCCTTTCCATCGCATGGGCTTGGCCTTTGCGAGGGGGAGGGGTCCGGGTGAGAAAAGGGTTGGGGGTTGGGGGCTGAGGGGCTTGATATTGGTTGCTGTTGCTGCTAAGTTTGTTAAGCTTTGGAGCCACGGCCTCAAGCCCAGGTCAGGGCAGTGAGTCGGGTGAAGAATGGCAAAGAGGGGCCGACCCAGAGGAAGGTCTTTCAGGCTCGGCCTCCCCAACCCCACTCCTGCTCCCCAAACGCGCCAGCCAGGACCCCTTCCCAGGCATTTCGATGCTCGCTGCTCGAAACCAAGTCCCGCTGGTCCTCGGTGGCCCTCTTCTTTCCCCTCGGTGCCCCTGGGGCGGGAAGGGATGCTGTCTGAGTCCCCGAGGGGTCCCCACGGGCGTCCTGGAGCCGGCTGCCCGCGGGCGGCCCCTTATCTGGTGAGGGGCACCTCCTCCCTCTGGTCCAGCGCCACGGAGGAGGCCTTGCTGAGCACCGACGGCGCGAAGGTGAGGAAGGAGTCCGAGCGGGAGGTGGAGGCACAGGTGAAGTCCGAGGCGGCGGCAGCGGCGGCGCGGGGCGCCAGCCCGTTGGCCGGGCCGCCGTGGCAGGCGAGGCAGGAGCAGGGGCCGCCGGCCGCGGTGCCCAGTCCGTGCGCCGGGCCCGGGTAGAGCGGCGGGTGGCGGAAGGCGCACAGCAGTTCGGGCCGCGGGTAGGGCTGCGAGAGCACGCGGAAGGTGTCCAGCGGGCGCAGCGGGCCGCTGAAAGGCGAGGCGGCGGCGGACGCGGCGGACGCGGCGCCCAGACCCACCGGCGAGTAGTAGGGCAGGGGCAGGTGCGACGGGAAGGGGTAGGGCAGGCCGCCCGCGGCCGCCGCGTGGCTCATCATGTACGTGTAGAAGGCGGGGTCGGCCGGGTGCGGCCACGTCATGGCTAGCCGCTGCCGCTTGTCCTTCATGCGCCTGTTCTGGAACCACACCTGGAGGGCGGGGAGGAGAGGAGCGGGTTCGGCGGCCGCTCGGCCCGGTGCGCAGAACCCATGAGTCCGTCCCACCGCGGCCGACGGTGCGGGTAGCACAGGGAAGAGCCGGAGAGGAGCTCCTCTGGGAGCGGGCAGATCCCACCACCACCCCTTTGGATCTGGAATCCCTCCCAGACAGGCTCTCTGCCTCCGCCCCTCAGCCCGCGCTGCCGGGACGCCCGAACCCAGTGTGGGTGGGAAAGTAGTGGGCAACTAAGAACTCCGCAGGCCGCCATCCCCTCAAAATACGTCCCATTCCTGAGGCTCTCCCTGGAAGCGCTTCCTTGACACCTGCCCGGGCACTTCATCCCCGCTGTTTATTTGGCCACGAAAGAGACAGTCTCCCTTAGGGGCAAATCTGCATGCACCTGGCTCCTGCACCAGGCTTAGATACTCCCGGCCTAGCTGCCCTGTAAAGACAGTCCAGGCCCTACTTCCTGGTTCATGATTTAGGAAGTGGGAAGGTGGTATTTACTCCCTCCGGACGGGGCGCATCCCCCCTCCCTCCTCCTTGTGGCTCATACCTTGATTGTGGTTTCCGGCAGGTTTAGGGCAGCCGCCAGCTCACATCTCCGAGGCCTGGATACATAGTTCTCCCTGTAGAACTCCTTCTCCAGTCGTGCAATCTGCTCCCGGGTGAAGGCAGTACGGTACCGTCGCATCTGGTCACTAGCACTGCAGGCCAGGGTGCCCTGGGAGCCACCGCTGCCATTGCTTTTGGGGGTCTCGCTGCTGCCATTGGGACTGCTGGCCAGTGCCTCGGAGCCAGGCCCTGTTTAGGGAGCCCAGAGTACATGCACACACAGAACACACAACAGATACAGACGCTGCTGATGTGGGGCTGTAGGTCCTGGTTGATGTGTGTGGAGGGGGTGATGGAAAGGGACATCCCCCCTCTTCTCAATAGCCTCAGACTCTACCTCTGCTGGGGTGGCAGGGACTTTGAGAACCCAGGAATGGAGGACAGAGGCTCACCATTCAGATGAGCACATAGCGGCCATTAGGCCTGGCCGGGCTGCTGTTTTGGAGGCCTCTGTGTTAGGCCTACTGGGTACAAAAGTCCCAGGTGCCCCGGCCACCTGCCTTGGAGCACAGGACAGATGCAGCCACTCTGAACTTTCTGCCCACGGTTGACAGGAGTGGGCAAGGATACACGTATCTGAGAGTCAAGTGAGCTGAGATGCCCCTTTGTGCTGGAGTGTTGTGAACTTGGGTCCTGGTGCATTGTTGGGTGTTGGGCAGGGACTGAGTTTCCTTGCTTTGTGTGCCAGATGGCTGGTGCAGGTGTGGGAATGTGCACTAGGCTGTGTGTGCTGTGGGCACGGCCCAGGAGTGTGTGTATGAGTGTCCTATTGCCTGACTGTGTATGAATGGAGTATGGGTTACTCTGAGGGCATGCTGTGGGTAGTCTGGATTGAGTGGATTAGATGGCAATGGGTGGATGTGGGTTCTCAGCAAGGAGCTGGCTGCCAAGGCCAGGGGGTGGGTTTTCTTCCTCACCAGGCTCTTCTCTCCCACCGGCACAGCTTTGTGGAAGAGTGTCTGCTGGTGGGCTCTTCCTCCTAGCGTTCCACCTCTCTCAGGGAGACTCCCTTCCTGACCATTCAGCCCACCTCCTCACTAGTCCCTGGTCAGGGAGGGGTTCTCCAGTTATAGCAGTGACACACAGCCACCACCCCCCACCCCAGTTTGAGCCGAAACCCAGGAAAGGGTGGGGCTCCTGCCCCCTGCCGCTCTTTTCCTTTGGGTGGAAGAGTGGGACTAGGAAGGAAAGGTGAATGGGGGGAGGGCCAGAGCACTGCCTTTTCAAATGCAACCGGAGACCAAAGGCAATTAGACCATTGGGACCATTTCCGACCTGGCGCCACCGAGCCCGGGAAGTGACAAGGTAATTTGGACCTCTGACCGACGTGCAAACTGGTCGGAGGGCCGCAGCAGCCGGTCGGCCCTAGTCGGTCGCGATTTTACGGTCCTTTATGGACTCCGCTTCCGCGCCTGGATGCGCCCTACACCCTGCTAGCCACAAACTGCCTGGACCCTCGTTTGATCTCGCCCACGCCGGGAGAAAGTGTCTTCCCCGCGCAGCTGAAGCAGTGCCACACAGCTCTGGGGGGTTGGGGTGCACTCTGAATCCCCCTCAAGCCCAGGGCTTGCGTCTCCCTCCTTCCCCCAAAGCACAGCTGTCACCCTCAGCCCCGCCAATGCCAGAGCAGAGAAGGAGACCCCCGCCAGGGCGCAGATAGCGGGGGATGAGTTGTTCAGGTGGGTTCCCCCAGCCACCCCGCCCTGGGGTATAGGAGTGTCTTCCTCTCCTCTAGAGCTGAAGTGGAAGGTGGGCGCGGTGGGAGGCCAGGGGAGAGAAGGGGCGCGGTGGCTACCTTTGCTGTGCTGGTATTCGGCGTTCCCCGTGGCGCAGTCCGGGGTGCAGCTCACCTCGATTTCTTCATAGAAATCCGACTCGGTGTCTGAGCTGCTGGGTTGCCCCTGGCCAGAGAGACTGTCGGCGGAGGCAGCCGGAGGTCCGGGGCCGAGCACCGCGGCCCCGCCTGCCCGCGACTCGGCGCCCGGCCCCGCAGCGCTGCCTGCTAATCCGTCGACCGGTTCCTCCTCCAGGCCTCCCCCGCCGCGCTCCCGGGCGGCCGGAGGACCGGCCCGCGGGCTCAGGCAACCACGGGGCACCATCTTCTCGGGCGGCTCGGGCAGCGGGCTGCCCACGGCTTCGGACAAATTGGAGACCCTCTTGCCAACCAGAGTGCCAAGCTGACCCCCATCCAGAAACATAACCATGTCCTTTCGGCTCTCCATCCCGGACTCTCGGAGGGGGGAGGGGGAAAGCCCCAAGTGAGCTCCTAGCCCCCCGGCTCCCTGGGTCCCCAGCGGTCCGACAGATCTTGGCTGCGGGAGGGAGAAAGAGGCCAGGCGACTGGGCGGGCGCGGAGCGGCCGGAACGCGGTGTCGACGGTGACGGCGGCGGTGGCGGTGGGGAGCTGGGGTCACCTTGTGATGCGAGCGCTCCTCTGTGCCGCACCGCCTCTGGGAGGAAGCCCCATTGCCCTCTTCTTTCTAAGCTGTCATCCTCCTGCTGCAGTCGTCATTACAGTACCGCTGGTGACGCCACTCGGTGAGCGCAAGTGGATAAATAGAAACGTCTGCCACAGCGAAGATGAAAGGAGACCCGCAGCTAATGGCTCGGCAGTGATGCGCCAGGTGTGGGCCTCGCTCGAATGGGGAGGAGAGTGTGAAAACAGAGAGACACACACACTGAGAGAGGGAGACACCCAGGCACAGGGGATGCAAATGAAATTCCGAGGGAGGAAAAGGGAGCTTAACGCGGCGAGTTCCGCAGGGGTTGCGGGACTCGGTAGTTGAATACGCTTTTGATATATATAAATTTGTTTTTATTGTTTGGGCTTTTGTTTTCTTAACTTGGTGCCTTGTTCTAACACTGATGAGAAAATTCATAACTGCATTTTAGAAGTGTTGAAGGCCGATTCCCAAGCCTCGCTTCTCTTATTATTACAACTGCCTGTCCCTGGTGAGCTAACCGCGCCGCGGCTCCAAAGTCTTTTTTTTTTTTTATTAACAAGCTACCGAAAAGCATATTCCCTCCCTCGCAAGTTGTCTGGACAGCTTGAGCCTGGGGTCTTCTTTCCTCCCTCCTCCTCCCAGCCCCTACCCCCAGCTGTTTCCTTCCTCCTAGGAACCAAAAGGGAACTTTGCCATTTTTCTTCCCCAAGGGGCGAGAGATAAATATCTTAATATTTTTCTTTAAAGACGGCTTTGGCTGCTGACTCCAAATGTTCGCTTTTTCTCCCCCATCGCCCCTCTCCCCATCTAGGTGACCGTAAGCTTTCCACAGCCCAGCTTGACCTCCAGATGGCTATTCAAGGAAGAAATCTCCCATTTGCTGGGGCCTCGCCTGCACTTCAGGTATGTAGAGTGGGGGAGAGGTTCTAAGGGTGGCCTTGTTTCTTTCCTTACCCATATTTTAATGTATTCGTTCAGAGTCAACGAATTCCCCCGGAAACAGTTTTTTGGGAGTTGAGAAGCTCTGGCAAATGAGGCTCCCACAGCGGCAGTGGCAAAGGCTCCTAGCTGGGAGAAGGTGCTGTTCTTACTGGGAGATTTGGGGCAGGGGTCGAGAAAGACCAGCATGCGGCACTGGGGTTCATGAAGGGTTGTCTCATGGGGTTCTCCCTAGTGCCCTGCCCCAGGGCTTTGGTCCCCTGCTCCAAAAGTGCATTGGGATTGAAGAGAAAGAAGGCATCGAAAATGCCATGAAAGTACAAGTGACTGGAGTTCTCATTAGTTGTCGAAGACAGGGGGGACCTGCAGGGCAGGACTGGGGGGGTGTGAGTAGTGTTGAATGTCTTTGGGAACAGCCACCGGCTCCCTCTCAGGTCTGCTTCCAGGGGAGGTGGAACCCATTAGGAAACTGCCCCCTTGCCAGTTTTGAGTGTGTTGGGGCTAGGTAGGCAGGCTGGGTCTCTCTCATTTTGCTGAGGCTAGAAGGCAGGCCCCTTCTTTGCTCTGCAACCGCTCCCACTCGACTTTCTCTGCCCCTTTCTAAGGGCTTCTAGCGCTAAGCTGACGGCTACAAAAGGCTCCTTTGCCCCTCCTCCTTCTGTATGTTCCAAGACAAAACCCCAACTTCTGAAATTTTAAAGAAAAGTCCCCTTATCACTAAGTATTTTTAACTTTATCTTTTTTCTCTCCTTCTCCTTTTTCTTTTTCTCAACTCTTCTCCCTCTCCCACCGCCCCCGCCCCCGCCTCAATCTTCCTATCTGTGGGCTTCCAGAGGTGGTGTGGAAAGACAGAAGTTCCCTTCTCAAGTTCTGCCTTCCACATCTCCCCCAGCCCCTCACTTGATAAGAACAGCTCACTGACCTCCTTTTGGGGTCAGGTGTGCAGAGGGAACTGGAAGGGAATATTTGCATAAACATTTCCAATCCCTGGGACTCCCAGAGTCACCAGGTGCTGAGCAGTGCCCCCAAAGTCCTGGAGAATATTTCAAAGGTGAGAGGAGCGATCCGGGTCAGAGTCCAGAGCCTTTTGCCCTGGTGGAGAGTTGTCCTAGGACTGGTGCCCTGTCCTCTCTAGCTGGTAGGCAGAGCCTGAGGGAACACCTGGCTTGCTCCTTCCTTCCTGTCAAAGTAGAGTCACCAGCATTTGCCTTACAGCTGCCACTATTCTTCACCTTCCTCTGGGCCCTTCCAGCCAGGGGCCTGGGGCGCTCCCCCCACTCCTCTATTCTCCACAGCCCTCGGCCAGCTCACAGCAGCCCCCCGCTGCGCTCACCTCTGCAAGGCCGGGTCCTCAGAGGGACTCCTTGGCTGCCTGCCCCGCCCCCAGCTTTGCATTCAATGGGAGTGCTCTGTGTTTGATCCTCTTTTCCTCCGGGTTTTCCGTGTGAGATGAAAGCGGAGCAGGATTGAGAGATCAAGAGGTGCCACTTGCTTCTCCTTCCTGGGCCCGGCCCATCCAAGCCAGACTTCCCCTGACGTCCCGGGAGGAAGGAGGCTCGAGCCCCGGGCTCAGCCTCTCCCGGAGGGGGCTGCCTCTTCTGGGCTTCAGATCTGAAGCTTCAGGGACGCCTTCATCCCTCTCCCGACTTCTGCCTCCACTCTTTCAAAATGTCTCAATTTCCCCTGTCTTTAGGCGCCTAAGTTACCTCGGTGGCAGGAGTAAAATATTTTCCTTTTTAAACCAAATATCACTTCTTCCAAAAGCATATTTCATTAATATCAGAAGAGAGGTCTAATTTTTAACAGGAAGAAGGAAACAGGAGGAGACTCGATAAGAGCACTGTTTCTAGTTGGGGTTTTCTGGAGGGGGGGTGTTGGGAGGGAGTGTTTGTTTTTGTTTATGGGGAGGCACTTTAATAGACTGGTTATCACTGTATAATGGAGGTTATTCCCTATGCGGCAGAAGAAAGGTAAATTCACAGAGGGAATAAAACCCACGCGTCGCCGAGGCCTGGGCGACCCCATAAAAGAGGGGGTGATAGCAGCCTAAGCGGGGTCCGACCCTGGCCCCCACCGCTTCTCACCTCCCGAGGCGGGAAGGACAACCCCCTCCTGTCTGCGGGCCTGCTGTCCCCTCCCCCGCTGGGACGGGGGGTTTAGGTCCAGCCGGCTCCTCTGGGATTGAAATTCTCCGGACTTCAAAAGCTCGCGGCCCCGCTTCCGCCGGGCTGGGTTGGGCTGGGCTGGGCAGAGGGTGGGTGGGAACCCCGGGGAGGCGACGCGGAGATAAGATGCGCGGGTTGTGTTAAATGGAATCGGAAGCTGGGCCCGGGCCACCAGACGCGCCGATCCGCAGGAGCCTGTTCGCTTCCCGAGAAAAGCCCGGCTCCGGAGAGCTGAGGCAGGGGGTAGGGAACCCCTCAGTGGCCAGCGGACCCGCTCGGAGCGATAGTCTGAAGCCCTGAGTATCTTCTCCAGCTAGAGCGGGCCTCCTGGCAGCAAGCACGCGTTCCGGCCGAAAGGAAGGGGCGAGGAGACATGGGAAGAGGAATAGGGTTCCGGAGCTGATTTGGCTACTTAAGTGTGGGCAAAATTTTAATCAAGAAAATGTTTTTGCTTCTCACTTTGGTGAAATGTCAGAGCAGAGGGAGCTTCCCTTTAAACAGTAAGCGTCGCCGGGCTGCCGCGGCATTGATCTGGGGCCCCCCGTCACCTTCCAAGCCGAGGCTCACGGTTTGTAGCCATCGAAGTTTCCCCGCGCGGTGGAGTCTCCACTGCGGTGATCGTGGGAAGTGAGGAGACTTCCGGCGGTCGGGCCCCATCTCCTCCCTGGCAGCTGCCGAACCCGGAGCACAGAGGCACTGCAAGGTGTCCTGCTCAGGGAGCAAGGTCAACTGGATCTCAGAAGCCCAGCAGTCGGGCTTTCTGAGGAATGAGGAGGCAGATCATGCCCTGCCCACTTACCCCACCCCATTGCCCACCCTGTAGAGGGGGCTGGTGGTCATCAGCCAGCAGTGGGCGCCATAAAACAGTTTTTCCTTCAGGCAGGCAGAACCTGTGGCTTCTGGAACTATGAGCAAGCACCCCCTTCTCTCTGTACCCCTGGAGCCAATGGCCAGGCACCTGGGACAGGAAACTGGATGTTTTTGGATGTTTTTTGCCGGCCCATGACACCTACTCCTCATGTTCTTGGAGCCAGCCAGTCCCGCAGTCACTCTTGCTTCCACACCTGTCAACCCTTGGCTCCTATAGGCCTGAGCCCAGTGGCATCCAGGCCCTGGACAGCCTACAACCTATACCCACTACCTAACAGTCCAGGAGTTGGAGGACCTCCCCAAGCCCAAGGCTTGCTTCTTCTTGAAGCTACCAGCTGGAAGGGCCCCTGTTTTGGTCACAGTTCTCCAACACCCAAGCACCCAAAGGCCCAGACACCCCCTCCCCTATCCTAGCAGAGATGGTACGGGGGCAGGGGGGTGGGCATTTCATTACTGTCCTGAAATTTGCTGTCATTACAAAGTGCTTTGATGCCCATTTCTCCTTGCCTCTTACACCTCTAAAAGCAAGTAGCAGTGCCTTTTCTCCCACACAGACAGGGTGACCAGTGGTCTTGACTCATGGCCAGGGCCTGGCTGAACGTTGGACCCTGGACTAGTGCTCCTTCCAAGTCCTTGTCCCTCCCTGGCAAGCAGGGATAACTTAACATCCGACAGTGCCTTAACACTCCACAATGCAGCCCCCACAACCTCCCACCCTTTTCTGGGGTCAAGCTGGGTTCAGAGGCCTCACAGAGAGGATATCCACCTGCCCTCAGAATCAGGAGGCTCAAAGACCCACATACC